TGTAACGGTCTGTGATGGGGGTGGCATCTGTCTGTAACGGTCTGTGACGGGGGAATCACCTGTCTGTAACGATCTGTGACGCTGGTATCACCTGTCTGTAACGGTCTGTGGGGGGAAGGGGGTCCAAATTTCTACCCCTCAATAGTTCAACACTCCTTTCAGATCGTGTTTCACAAAATTTTGTGCTAGTATGCAACATTTTCAAATTCATGTTACTAAGTGTATTGATTTAAAAATGCTCATAAGATTTATTTTTACAAATATAAGTACGTATGTTCCTCTACTCAATTTTTTGTGTCTTTATATTCCAAATGCAAACGAAAACACAGTTGGAGAATTACAAAAATTGGTCGATTCAGAGAAATTATTAACTAGTTATATGATTAAACGTATTGGTAATTATATTCTTTTGAAATAGAATTGACATTTATTCATATTTTTTGTAATTTTATTGTCTAAAATAACATCTATATGTACGATAACTGATGTGTATGCTTTTTTTAAATTGTAATATTCTATTGGTCGTTCTCAATTAATGTGAGTTTTGTGATAATATTTGTTAGGTTATATTGGTCGCGTGGTGAGATGTATGGATGATACGGTATGATTACATGTTCTGTGTCGGTTGTTATTCCGTAAAGGTTTCATATGCAGTTATGATGTTGGATGGGATGGTTTGAATTTGTTGTGTTTGTTTTAGTGAAATACCGTGATGAACATTATCGATGTCATTAACGAGCAGAAGTTCTGTTGTTTGCTTTGTTGAATTATATCGTCTGTATGCTTCAGTTTCATCACAGAGTTGTCTGTTTGTAAGTAGACAGTCGATTTAAATCGTTATTCATTATGAAGAGTTTTTTTTCTGTTAGATAAATGAGTGATAACAATTATCGTAAGACATTCATCTTTTTTTGAGGTCAATAAATCGTCATCGTAAGTGCTACTGGAAAGTTGAACCAACGGTTTCTTTACTTCTACAGATTGAAGTGATAGATGATTAGAGCAAGCATTTTACCTTTTTTATTCAAAAGAAATTTTAGAAAGTGTTCACACAATATGAGGTACATTTCCATGTCATCAAAATCGCATCACTCTTGGTGATTATTCTCAGTTTCCAAAAGAAATTCGTCCGTTAAGCGTCAATGTTCGCATGATTTCCAGTGCATAACTTATGACGTGTAAATTAAAAACAGAGTTGTCAAAATTGTTTGCAAACATTCTACTCTTAGAAGTCAATATAGGTCTTCAAGAGACTTTCTTCAAAATAAGAAAACTTTAAGAAAAATTGGCAATATCATTTTAGAATTTGCTGCTCTCTTATTTAAATTCAATGTCACAATATTCATTCACTTGAAATCTTTCGATCATGTGAAGAGAAAGATCCATGAGTGCATTTTCAAAGTAAAAAAAAACATGCAAAAACGACGAAAACACATCGAATGATGACTCATGAGTATGACGAAAAAGACGTGTGTAATGAAGATTTTTTCTGGATTTCTCATCAAAACAGGCTGTGCAATAGCACATATACTACTGTTCTATTGACTTGTGAGATACCATTAAGGAATTGATGCATTCTGCCTGAAACTGAGGAGCGAGTCATACTGGGAAAAAACCAACATCGAGAACAGTAGTTGTCAATATAATTCCTATTGCAGTGAGTCATAGGCTTAGCATATGCACGTCACATAATTCGCAATGTTCTTGACTGAATAATGTTACAGGGAAAGAAACTTGTGTATATTCCTTTTTCATCTGGTATATATATGCAAAACTTCGCGCAGATCCTTCAAGCCACTCTTATCTAAGTTGTATTTACTTGAAAATTTCAGTCGTTGCAAATACAATGTCGTCTGACTAATCCAATGGCAAGTGGCGGTCAAGAAGGTTCCACATTCAACAGCAAGAAGGATAGTGAAAATCATTCAGCACGCGAAGCGTATCGAACGGCCAAAGAACATAATGGAGTGCCAAGATCACAATCGCCACTTGAACATCCAACCAAAATTCCGAACAAAAACAATCCAGGCAAATTCGTTACCCAATATAAGCATGGCAATGTCTATGGTGAACCGATATCAATAAGATAAGATAATCCTGTCGATTATGGCGATGGTGGTCCTAAACAAGGTCCACATTATAATGCGGGTACAACGGGAGAAAAACTGAAACAACATCATAATTATCCCGATAAAAAAAGAAGTGAACATACTGTATTACATCGAATCAACCGAGAGACACAACTTGTATCCTATGTCTAACAATTCAGAAATAGATGGAACTCTATTCATTTGAAATAATAATTGCCGAGTCAGGTTCGGCGATGTTTTACTGAAGCAATCTGAGAAGAAAAGTAATGGAATGATCACTGGTTGATTTCTTTTGAAATTTCTTGAAAAATGATTGTGGCCATTCGATCATATCCAGCGGGTGTCAAATGAATCATATCATCCCAAAGATTTTTTACGTCTTTGATACCGTGATACGGAATACTTTTGTCAAGGTCAACAAGACATATTCTGTCCTGATCTTGACAATTCGATACATAATTTCGAATCATTTCATTTAACTTTTGTCTTTCTCGATCGTGGATGTCGCCTGGTGGATAATAACCAGTTTCGAGGAGAGTCATAGCTACTAAGTTCGTTGTTCCATTGACTCGTTGAAGAACCATATCATATATGACTTTCAATCCTTCATTGAAAATTGTTTCCGCTGATGTTCGACATCCCAAATCATTCGTTCCACCGAGTACAAGAACCCAGTCATAACGAGGACTATTTTCATTGAAAGGTATTCCAGCCATTTGACCATGGCTGGAACCATACGTTCGCCACTGACTGCTCGTTGATCGATTATGACTGGAATATTTGCTGAGAAGAATAACTTAGACAATTGTATAGAATACGGATGATTTGTTAAGCCATATTCACAAAAACCAGCTGTTAACGAAGCACCAATGGCAAGAAAACGAAGGGGTGATTACATGAAAATAAAACAAATGTATTAGACGATACTTGTATTATGGCTTCCAAACAGAACGAAAGACGTGTGATTATTAGAGTAAGAGGTTGAAGACGAAGCGGTTACATTTCTCATCATGTTATTTCGTAATGCGTCAATGAATCATTGTTGTCCTTCGTCTGTGATATAGTTGTTCGACATGTTCAGATGAATCGATGTCTGTTATAAAAAAGCAAAACATCGAATTTGAGATGAGCAAGATTTCATGTCGATTATTGGGTTCACCCGCAAGATATCGACGAAATATTGTGCACCTTCCTCTTAAATTTGATTCTATTCAAGTTCTAGACGAGTGAATATCTGTCGTAATTATTAAATAAGTAGCAAACAACAGTTGAAGAAAGCCTATCGTCTACATTGTTACTTTGTGCAGCATGAGTCAGTTTCTGTGCTCCATCATACGTAATTTCATTCTTTTCAAGATCTAAACAATCAAGCGTCTAATCTACTTGCCGCAATCAAAATCACGTTCTGATTATTTTCTGATTTTTGAATTTTTTTTCTGATTTGAATATTTTCATCTGGCCACCCTGTTGTGCTGATAAGCTTTCTCATGTGATTTTTACCATATGTCGGCTACTTCAACCTATTCGAGTATTTAAAGAATGAGAACGATGCATTATTTCCATTTGCCATCGACTTTGAGTAATCAGTAACAGTAGTGCAACCCTCTTCGTCATTATCACGAGTTATTTTATTTCTCATCTAAAGACATTGATCGCGGTGACTACATAAGAAGAAACGAACTCCAGTTTATTTCAGCGTTTTCTGCTATTACGACAGCACTATAACTATGACGATTGTGACCTTGTTAACCATATTGGTGAATCTTTATTTGATTTTTCTGAGCATTGTAAGTGCAATGTCAACATCTGATTTCCATTGGTTCGATACAACAACTTCCACTGCAAGCCCATGGCTAACAACTACTACCGCAAGTACCCCTTGGCCAATTGCTACTAGTAGAAGTCCGTGGTTAACAACTACTACCACAAGTACCCCTTGGCCAATTACTACTAGTAGAAGTCCGTGGTTAACAACTACTACCGCAACTACCACATGGCCAACTACTACTAGTAGAAGTCCGTGGTTAACAACTACTACCGCAAGTACCACATGGCCAACTACTACTACCAATACAACCCCGTGGCCAACAACTACTAGAAGAACCTCGTGGCCAACAACTACTGCAAGAACCACATGGCCAGCATCATCTCCATCCACATCATCGTTTAATAAAGTAAATATTTTATTGGCACGAAATGTTCAGCTACGGGCTACATCATCACCGAGCGATTATTCTACAACAATAACCTGCGATGATCCCAGCATTCTTCCTTATATAAGAAAAGATGTTAGTCAAGATTCTACATTAACTATCTCAGCAACGAGCGACTGTGATGTGAATATTCGGGCCTATAATTATCAAGCAATACACATTGACACTGTATCTAGATTAATTATGACAGATTATTCATATAGAGGATATCAATTAAGATTCGTCAGCATGGGCAATTCACAGATTGATATAATTAATGTTGATTATGATTTCGCTGAATTTCTTTTCTTGGGCAATAGTACAGTGAAACTGGGTGGAAATATCGGTGCACTGACTGTTGTCACTCGAGGTAAAGGATCCGTTGATGCAACTCATGTGGCAACCCCACATGTCAACGCGACTCTGTCGGGTATCGGTTCACTTCAAGTGAAATCAACAGTGAACATGAATTTAATCGTAGAGGGAACGGGTAATCTAACTTGGTGTTCACCGAAAGTTCAAATGGATGTGACACCAGATGTTTATGGAAAGACAAGTATTCTCTATCAATGTTAAGTTTACATCTAACTAAACAAAAGTTCATTCAATAAAGTGATCAGAATCTACGTTTCTATCCGTTGATCATCAACAAAAGACGAGGTGGTTCCGTGCATTCATCTCGAGTTATGTCTCTTTAATGATCTCGGTATCAAACATACTTTAAGTGAACAAAATTAGAAGGAGTTGAGTTGATCACTTTTTTTGTTCATAGATGATTGACAATGAATCGATAAAGTTAAGCGACAGAAATTGCTTGTTCCAATGGACTAAATGATGATACTCGAATCCTTTTGTCTTTGGACGAATCACCTTCGATAGAAAGACAAATTCTCTTTTTGATCATGATAAATTGACTACGAACTATTCAATTTCGATTGCTTCTTTCTCCAACGGAATAAACGCGGGCGTATTTGAGAATTTGTGACAATATAGATGAGTGGATTGAAATAAATCGATGATTTGGCACAGATTGCTACGCATAGCATAGAAAAGCGAAATGGAGAAAATCATCTCACCTGATAATATTCCACTCAAACGAGAAATTAACTTTGGAGAGAAAAATGTTGAAATAAATGCGACTATCGCATAGGGTGTCCAGGCAACAATGAAACTCACTAAAACGACAGTGAAAAGCTTCCATCGATTCCGAGTGATAAACTGATAATCAGAAAAACTGTATTTGCCATTTGTTTCTCCAAATTTTGTTTTCGAAGTGCTCTGCTGGTGCTTTTGTTTCGTTCCGAAATTGACTTCCGTTGATACACACGATGTACCTGATGTCGCTATGACATGTCAATTGATGTAAGCGAATCTCCTCCTTACTTCAAACAGTTACGGAGCTGAGCCCCCACACCCCAGAAAATTTTTCTGGCTCCGCCACTACTTTAAAATATAAGAAGAATAAATACCAAAAGAAAAATGAGGTCGAAACTTATGAAACACCCTTTATATAAATGATGGTGTAGATGTGGATGTGGGTGAGTGTGGGTGTGGATGTCAGTGTATAGGTGTAGGTATGGCCTAAGTGGAGAGTTAGTCCTACACCCACACTCGCGCCCACACCCCCTCATCCAGACTCACCAACACTCACACTCACACTTACACTCACGCCCACACCCACCACTCACATCTACACCCACACACTCTCAACACTGAAAATATATCATTGTTCAAATCGATATGTATCTTATCACACCAAAAGCACTCAAAATCCTCAAGTTTTCGGTAAACGGCGCATCATATGGTACTTTGAAGTTATGCCAATATCTATGTTGTAAATCTCGTTACCGGGTCTACAGATATTATGACATTTCTTATTTTACTTTTCATTTTCAAGAGTATGAATGAATTCACTCAAAAAGTTCTAAAATCATTGCTTGCAACGTGTTGATTGCGTCGAATTGATCGGTTACCTTGAAAATTTCTAATTGAATTGCTTTTTATTGATTCAAAATATAAGGAACGAAGAAAAAAAATCATTTTTCACTATGTTTCATGATTTCAGTTTGAAAATCTGCCGACAAATAAAATGCGTTCTTTGCTTCGAGCATACTCAGCAGCCCCGAAGATCGATTGAAGGTAAACAGTGAAAAGAAAATTAATGAAATATTCTCGTGTAGCAATGAGTTCGTGTATGATTCAAATAATGAAGATGGAAGAAAACATATAAATGCTATTTCAATCTGGCACATAATATCGACGTTTCGATCTATTCATCATCGAGTGCTGTTAGTTAGTTAATAATTTTGTTTCAACAGAAATTGTACACGTCTAGGACATAGAATCTCAAAGTAGATAAGAAGAAATTTTCATTCAATATTTATTTTACTGCATGTTTCAGTTGACGTTGAGCGAGTGAGCCCATCAAGACTTCGACTTCAAATCTGATCTCATTCAAAAGTAATGGCGAGTGTTGATGCTGATTCGAAGCCAAAACGTAAGATTGCACTCATCATTGGGAATGATGATTATAGTCATGTATCTAACACATTACGGCAATCAGTCAACAATGCTAATGACCTAAGCAAAACCTTGAAAACGATGGGTTTTGATGTCAGCACGGTCACCAATGCTGACCGGCAGGGGCTTTTTCAAGTGTTCAAAACAATGAGCGGAAATATGAACGATGGTGACCTAATTTTTTTCTACTTTTCTGGTCATAGTCATCAAGTCAACGGAATCGATTATTTGATACCTGTTGATGATGCACAGCTTGATTCTGACCTGGATGTGATTAACGGCGCTTTGAGCATCCAAGAAAATTTGAATCTATTGTCAGAAACTACCAAGCCCTATGCGATTATTGCTACTTTGGATTGTTCTAGAATATATCGTTTGGGTGATGCTCGTAAATCGAAGGGTGAATATGATTTTAATCGTGAATTCCTTTCAACATCTTGTTTCATTTTTTAGAAGCACCTAGACCTAAAGGTATTCGTAAAATTAACCTGCCTCGCGAAACATTCATTCAATTTGCCTGTGATGTCGATCAAACCTCAGATGATGCGATCGGCCACGATCGAAACACGTTGTATACCAGGACTTTGCTGCGACATATTGTTCGAGAACTTGTTCATGTGAAAGATATTTTCAAGAGTGTAGAAGAAGATGTCTACCGGCAGAGCAATCGTCAACAACGACCTGTATCTGTGAATAGATTGTCAAAAGGTTTACAAGTCTTCTTGAACTATGCGATGGGTAAGTCAAGCTTGCCTTCACTCATTGAGGCTATCCCAATAGTATGGCCGAGAGTATCGACAGAAGCATATTTTCAGGGTACCACATGAATTTATAAAACGACGCAAAATATGTTCCTGATCTCAGAGGTGGGCATGGTAGAATCTTATTTCCAGAAAATTGAAAATTTCGGACATCTTTTGATAACATCAGTTTCATAGAATAACACTCTTCAAATGATAGATTCAAAAATGACAACAATACGCAAGAAAAACGCATGGCTCCATATTCAAAAGAAGGTTGCTGCCCTACCATGGCGCTCTCATAGTGAGAAAATTAATTGGAATCCATAGATAATACAGTAAGAGTTACGGAAATCCTTCACCAGCATACTCATCCTCACCCTCACCCTCATCCTCAATTTGAATTTCCAGGAAATAGGAACCTACCATCTACTGTTTCAGGAAAACCGAAATTACGCACTGAAGATTTCATATCGAATGTACCATTGTCGCAAGAGGAAGAAGATTACTTTTGTGAATGCAAAGAATACTACAACTTGACCAAACAAACATTGATCTGCATTTCTGATGAAGTGCTCGCCAATGATGCTTTCTATTCGCACACTACACTCAAATTAGCGATCGATGAGAACTGTAATCAATTCGAATTGCAAGATTTCCTCGACATATTCTGCAAGAAAATCGGTCTTCCCCAGGAATTCATGACGTTAAAACGAATACAAAAGGGATCAGCTGTTCTAGAAGCAGAAATTGCTGACAAATTAGGATCAAAAAGCTTAAAATTGAAGTTAAAATTGATCTACGATTCTCTGACAGAAAAGCTGCGCGAAGAACTTGCGAAAATCAAAATCTTTTTCATGTTTATGGGCTCAGTTGAGTCCCTAGGAAAGATCCAAAAGTTCCGTTCAGAGATCAAAATGAATCCAAAATACAATCGCACATATGTTCAGGGACGCGATTTTTGGCGAGGTCCTGTTCCTGATCAGCTAGACCGCGGAGGCAATCCATACTTTTGCCCAGTCGGATGGAGCCGATGGTCTTTTTATGTAACCGATAATTTTTATCAGAAATTTAAAGGATGGTCTATCTGTTACCATGGCACAAAGTTTTCTTACGGCTTAGCAATATTGCTGAGTGGACTAAAACCAGCAGAAAGAGTAGCACTTGGCCAGGGAATATACGCAACCCCATCTGTCAACTATGCATGTCATCCACGATATGCCGAGGTCAAGCTAATCCAGTCATTAGCAAACAATAAATTCTTCAAAAATGGCACGTACGTTCAGTTCGTCCTCGAATGTCGCGTTCATCCAAATAGCATACTCCTAAAAGGACCACAAACATTAGATGCATTTGGTACTACAATTGATGATAATATCAGTAATGCTGTCATTGAATGGCTCATCGACAACCAAGGGAAACAGATGGTTGATTTCAATGATCCAAATGCTTCAATCGTTTGCACAGGGATCATGGTGAGAGTTACTGACGAACATCCTGGTCTTCTACCTCAATCTCAGTGGTGGTACCATTCACATTTATGCGATTATAAGAGATGTTGTCTGTTAGATATTGATATTGCAACCTTAAAACAGCTTAAAAAGAGTGGTATTCAGTGTAATATTATGTATGATTAGAATCCTTTGTAAGAGTATTCATTTATCGATTGGTAGTATATATTGACAGAGTTTCTGCTTGCTGTGGGTTTTTAAGTAGTTGTCATTAAAAAAATAAAGAATATCTTAATTATTATTATCATCATGAGGATGACGGTAATTTCATAATGGTAAGATCCATATTGCGAATTTTCTTGAGTGTTGAGAATCGTACCGAAAGTGTCATACCTCGCCAACTCTGGCCGATCATCGTTGAGAAGGTCGATTTCTCATATTCCGTACTAAGACCATAGAGAAAGAATGCAATGAACATCTGTCTCTTTGCCGCTGACACAGACAACAATCTTGATCAATGTGCATCACTAGTCGCCATATTGATCGGTGTCAAATGTTGGATATATCTATTAGAGAATGGCTCGGTATGAGATTATGGTTATGATAGAACATGCTTGAGTGTCGCCCGTAGTAAAAGGTTTTAAGCGTTTTATCCTCTAGAGACCTCGATGACTAGTATCAATATGAATGTCTTAGCTGCTCTCGTTCAAGTCTGAAAAAAAACAAAGAACTAACTTTTTTCATTTTCCAGTATACTACTAATATGAGTTCTGTGTCATTTTTTCACTATTATAAAATTGAGCAGTTATTCCATTCCGCAATGTTGCACATTTCGGAATCAGTTCCATCTAATTCCAGGAACTCG